TGTGAAATGATTTAGGTAGGCCAGTCCTAATTTCCTACCGCGGACCACAACCCTATCCTGCTGCTTGTGGTGACTACACATTCATCGTCGTCAGCTGTAAGAACCGCGTACTTTCCGTGCAGTGGTTCCAGCTGCCACGGTTTTGTTCACCGATGATTTCGGGACATGGGACTGATAAACAGCAGTCGGTAGGTAATCGCTTTTGTTGACCAGTCCGCATTCGGACTGGGACCACGTGTCTTCAAGATCTTCATCTACTTTGCGGTTGAATATACCACGGTTATCCTATATCGTCACTGGGGCGGGCGTCTGTTGCAGGGGTTTGTAATTCCGTACCAAAAATTTAGGCTGGATGAGATCTTACACGAACCTTCCTTCTGAGCTTTGTATCTTGATCTGGAGATAATGATGAACGGAATGTGTGTATCACCTTCAAATGGACGGCTAGTTATACACCACAGTAGTGTGGCGTATAACTACCCACTTGAGAGGTTTTTATTCTGTTTGCCGAGTTTGACAGTTGGATTGCAAGCGTTTCATCACCCTTTGAGGTGACATCGTCAGTGCGGCGTTCAGTGGGTAAATCAGTGACGATTTCACCTTGGTTGGTGATGAAACCTCTGCAATCAAACTACTAAGCCCGGTGAACAGACCAACAACCAGCGCACCTGAGCAACCCATATTCCACATTGCCAACCCACCGGAGTTTCAGGTCAAAGTCATAGAGTTCCCTAACATAGAATAGAAGGCTCATTCACACGCCCACCAGAAACGATATCTATCAGAATTGAACAATAATATCAAATCTTCTCTTTTCTATCACCGAATGTACTTTCACTGTCAATAGCAGAATGTACATGAAAGTATAGGCAACTTGTCCGGACTAACTGACTGAGTGATCATACTCAAAGGCACCTTGGAAACGGCAGACATATATTGAGGAATTCAGCGCCAAGCAGCTTTCCTTGTAAAGCATCATTTTTTCTTAAGGGCACGGAATTTCGTGGTTGATCAGTTCGCTAAGATTTACAAGCCACTTTACGGCGAATTGTCAAGTTCCGTGGGTAGATCATAAGTCATCTGAGCGAATAGCAACAAATGCACTCAAGCTATTAACATACCAGTATAGGTGGAAATGTAAAGTTCTCTCCTACAAGACATATTACAACCCAACAACAGTTATGAGTATTGGCATATAAATTGCTACAAAGGACTCCCGTATCCACCTGTGAAATGCGTCCTCCAAATGGATGGTTCAGAGCGCAATACTTCCCTTCAGCAATAGCATTCGCTAAGTCTCTCCTAGCAGGTTGTTCAATGCTTTTGACTGCAAACCCTAATCACCCTCCTCAACTTACGCACAGTCATGAATTTTACAGGTAAAATCGCCTTCATTCTACATAGGCCGTTGAGTGGTATCATCAGCCCAATTCGCTAGACACATTAGGCCGGGTAAGTGAAAACACGTGGCAGCCTCCCATCCTTCCTCTTATCTCTTAAGCCCCGCCCTGTTTCACTTGACAATCACTCTTGTGTGAATCCCCTTTGTAGGCACGTCAGACAGGTATATGAAGAGCTGAATTACTGCACGCCGCGGCTCAAATCTACCGTCAACCTATTTCATTCAACCCGTTCATCCTGGGTTGCGGTCTGAGTTTAGAGCACCCACTCATTCGCAGTACAAATATGCCTTTCTACCTTAAAGGGTCACCAGTCTGTTGGGCCTGATGAGCCTTCACCCAGCATTGTACATTGATGGAGGGGAATTTGCGTTTCTCTATGATTAGGTTACTCATAAGTATTTAGGAACAAGAATGATTAATGTTGTTGCTCAGGTGTCTGTTACTCTGTTTGCCGAGCTTAGCTAACAAATCAACATCACCATCGCTGTTTGGGATATAGTTCACAGTGCCACTGTCAGACTGTGTGGACTTGCGAATAATGATTAATTTGTTGCTCAGGTGTCTGTTACTCTGTTTGCCGAGCTTAGCTAACAAATCAACATCACCATCGCTGTTTGGGATATAGTTTAAAGTGCCACTGTCAGACTGTGTGGACTTGCGAATGACCCGATTGTGGTGAACAAATGTTCACCTGGACACCTGTAGAAGTCCCAGTCGCCTGGCCAGGGCATCACCTAAGGAGTCCGCGTCATATCAGCCTATCTGTCAAGGGTTGGGCTTAAAATCTTACGGTGCACTCCATATGGTTGTATGGGTCAGAAACCTAGACGTTGGGCACTCATGGCGTTAAAAAACGTTCAGTGTTTGATCATTAATGCCTTCGGAGCTTTGTTCGAGTGTCCCGACAACACTGGATCAGTAACACCTAGGTATGCCGAATAGCTTCCGGAAGAAATAACTCACGCACGATGGGTGAACTGATCACGCTCCACAAGTATTGTTGACCTGATAACTTGTTCCATATGACAGTCGACCGACTTCCTAGAAAATTTATTTCTATACAACCAAGCTAAGGGTGTACACGAGTCAGAGGACAAACGATGTCATCATCATCATCATCATCACCATCATCGACAGCATGACATCAGTGTTCAACACTGATGCTTCACTACCGTACAACCATGATTTGTTTGAAAGCCTTATTGTAAAGAGTAAAAAAGGACGGGGAAGGGACTTAGTGCTAGCTTAACACAATCATTCCGAGGTGCCTACACCTCCAAACATTCACTCAGGCAATCTGGACAGAAACTGACAACAAGAACGCCACTGACGTCGGTTGGCAGCCATATCATGTAACGTCTCCAACCAGGCACAGTGAGGATCACGCGGTCCCCATCCTGGAAGGCGAGTAGCACCGACAGCACCCAAGCGCTTCGTGATCTCCTTCATACTCCTCTGCCAAGTCAAGGGTTGGCCACCTCTCTGTTTACGCCACTCTGAGTTGAGCATGGAAAACAGCACTGTCTTCGGCAAAGGATGCCTCGGCATACGCAACACATATCCCAACCAACGCAGCTTCTGGTGCTGGACACATTCTTCAATGGAAGTACCCGTTGCACAACCGAAAAGCGCTTTCTAACTGTCTCGTTACGGATTCGCCGACACCAACCCACACGAGCAATGGTTCTGAGACAACGGTTGTCGAACACCTGAAGACGTCTCAGGTCCGCTGCTCGAATAGGCCAAGTCTCACAGCCGTACAACAAAACAGCCCGTACTGTAGCTTGATACACACGTCCCTTCAGACTTAGGGATAAACCATTCTGCCGCCATAGGTGGCTCAAGCTAGCAAACGCGGCCCGAGCCTTGCAGATTCGTACATTCACCTCATCTGTCACACTACAGTCAGAACTAATACAACTTCCAATATAGTAAAACGCTCCACAACTTCCAGTGCCTTTCCCTGGATCGTAAGTGGCGTGTTCAGTGACTGCACGTCCACGAGCATGACCTTACACTTTGTGGGTGCGAAGTGCATACCAAAGGACGGGATGACTTTGGTCAGTTCATCCAGGAATACTTATGCCTCCTCCTCCTCTTCGAACATGAGGGCAATGTCGTCTGCATATTCCAGATCGACAAGGATTTCTTCACAGACTATTTGAATACCAGGGTTTTGGAGACCCTCCAGCGGTTGTCTCATTATTTCATCGATCACGAAATTGAAAGTAATGGAGAGAGTGGGCATCCCTGACGGACACCGATTTGTGTACAAGCTTATGGAGAGCTCTCCGTACACTCTCACACGTCCGGAAGTCTGAGAGTATAAAGAACGTATTACGTTCATAAGCTTCCAGGGCATTACTTGGTGGGCAAGCGTCTCAAGAAGAACAGACCGATCAACCGAGTCGAATGCGCCTCGGAAATCCAGGAATACTAGAATCGTGGGTCGCTTATACGTATGGCGTTGTTCTTGCACCTGATGAAGTGCGGAGATTTGGTCAACACAACCCCTACCAGGCCGGAATCCCGCTTGCTGTTCTCGAGTCAGTATCTCACGAGCCACCAACTCTTCTAAATATCATTAACCAGAAGGATGCTCTCGATTCAAGTTAATCCGATTTACCGGCTATAAACCGTGCACCATAGGCACATTGGTTCAAGCTGCTACAGTCTCGAACACTGGAAGACGGGAATGTGGGTTAGTTCGGGAACTGGGTAGCTACGTATTGAAGGCAACCATTTTGGTACACGAGCGCCACTGAATGCGCGAGTGGGCAATTTCGGTCAATGTCATTAACCATTGGTCAGTGGAGTTCCATGGTACCCATCCAGGGAGGTGGCAGTTGCCGACCCGACTAAGTTTGCCGGTTAGTGTTTTCGTTTCTGGTTGACTGGTCATACTGTCCACCTCACGGTCGCTTCCAGTCAGCACACGGCTGGACACAAAGAGTTCTGTGAGGCAGACGGAGTGGCATACGGAGTACATGTCCTAGCCAGCGTAACCTATGAAGCGTGAATGATTCATCTATCGCGGGGAGTTCCTTCTTCCTAGCGTACCTCGGAGATCATGAACACTCTCCGTGCCCCTTATTCGCAAAAATCGGGTGTATAATTAACTGTTTAAAAGGTTCCTCGCAATTATTAGGACTGAGTATAGTTGTGTCCTTCCTCTCAGTTTTATCCTGGACTTTGCGTTGGAGTGCACACTCCACAGAACCAAGAATCTGTGTATCGAAATGACCTCTGGAGAGAGATTAATGGAGGTGAATTGTGCAGGCGGCATCGTGCAAAGCGTTTAAACAGGGTACCGGAGGTAGTCGCATGCTTCGGCATGAATCTCCAAAGTGCAGTTTCACCTCAGGATCTCCCACCTTCTTCTTTGTGAAACTCCAAAATGAGGGATTCGAGCTTGACAATCGATTATACCGTAAAAAAGGAGGTAAATCAAGATGAGATTATCCCAGCTATGTAGTCATATCAAAATGAAAGTCGCAACACCTGCTGCCGTTTAAAACAGCCACGTGACCTTGTCAGTAGATTATCGATCATGGAGCAATACAATGCCTCGGAGTCACACTCAAAACACCAGGGTTAATGAAGACAAATCGCCGGTCACATAAGCGTGAAAAGACACAGGAAGGTGGTAGTGGCCCGGCAGCCATAAGGGATCATGACCACCTCACCAAACAGCTTATCAAACAAGAAACGATCATATGCGGTGCTTGTGGGAATGCCGATACGACACACGGACATCCAATTATCGGAAGTTCGTATGTGGCCGGAGAATATCCATACGGCACCCACAACATAAAGGATAGTGGTGCATGGTTCAGTTATCGGAATCTGCAGAAATGGATTGTACATTACGGCATTCAGCAGATGCTCGCAGAAGACGGNACACGGACATCAATTATCGGAAGTTCGTATGTGACCGGAGAATATCCATACGGCACCCACAACATAAAGGATAGTGGTGCATGGTTCAGTTATCGGAATCTGCAGAAATGGATTGTACATTACGGCATTCAGCAGATGCTCGCAGAAGACGGTTCTGTTCGAATATGACCAAAAACTGCTTTACAGAAATTAACTCAACGGCCCTCATCCGACACCATGTATGTTCAACTGGAATTTCACGTGGAATTACGCACAGATCTGTCATAAAACGGCTGCGCCTTGTAGTATCCTGGTTGCATATTTAATGAATGGGTGGGAAATTGACCGATTAAATAGCGAAAACGTGTAAGGGTGGGTAAATACTAAATCCACCATACCAATCGGAAATTCCGACCGCATAACTGACCGTCAAGGCTAAGCTCCATGATGTATAAACGTCACGGTTGAGAGTAATACTCATAGGTAGCACGGAGCCCATGAATTCTTGAGAGTTCAAAGTCCCGATATTTTAAAGCAGCTCAATTCCTCTGTCCTGTACTTCCAAGAGCTTGAGATTACTTTTTTGTTCTTCAACTCGATAATTTACCGTAGGACAGGTGTTCATTAGGTGTGCAACAGAGATGAGAAAGCAATCCAATAGACAGCCCCGAAATCCCGAACCCACCGCTCAACAATAACCGGAGACAATCTACTTAGGAAATTGTTCATTATTTTGTTCACCAATAAGCCAACCTAAAAAAATCATCAAAATTTAAGATTTTCTAAATTTTCTGGGTGCATTCTGTACGAACTCCCGAGTGAAAGTCACAGTCTCAAGTGGAATTCCGTGGCACCAGCGGTTGTAATATCAGAATCATGAGAGTTACAGAAGCTCCCGTAGGCCGCAGAACGGGCAATGTTACTTCAATGGTCACTTCGGGAAAGTAATTCCCAAAAGCCACCAGCCTAATGATGCTTTACTCGGTCTGCGGCAGTTACAAAAGAATCTATCCGGAACAGTGTGAACTGCCGTATCTATCAAAAACAGAGCAGTAAACACTCATATTGTGATGCCGACCACTACGACGATCGAAAGTGAGTCTTATTCCTTTGTTCTCAGAAGAACAGTACGGACCGAACTTTCATGAGCTGGGATATTTGTCATCTCGTAATTTGGCTTTCACAAGTAGTCTGCTGTGAGATTGTCTTCAAAACCACTCGATTATTAAACGCTGCTTAATCAGTGTCTTACCGTTCACCTTGAGACTTTGAACGGTACAGTTTTCGCATATCAACTCCCACCATGTTAATTCTATCCACTTGCTAGTATACTGTTGAGTCGAACAGGTCCTGGTGCAACCGGCTTTTCACTGTTGTTAAGTGAGTCGACACCGGGCCCAGTTCAGCAGCGGAAGGATAAATCCGAGCTCACTTCATTCCGTTACTTACAAAACCAAGAGATGAGATCGCCGCGCTCGATAACGTTGATGGCTCGATTTCACTTTGGGTGTTAGTTCGCTAAACTCAAATAGGAGAATTTAGTTGGTTTGCACGACAAAGAGCGCTGTAAACCGAGTTGGAATAATCGACTCGAACACACGTGGCAAGTGGCTTTTTGCACACTAAGGATTGTAACGTAAACCACAACAGAACTACAGCCTTCACATGAACCGAAGACAGAAATCGGTACAGTCGCCACTGCATGGAAGTCCAAACTAAATCCACACATACACCAACAACTGACGGTCTGTGTTCAAGTTCTGGCGAATAGTGTATGATACGCTTAAGTAGAAGCAGAGAGCGCATGACCTTCGATACCGTACGCATGTAGCACGGTAGGTAGTACAAATTTTCACTGTTTCAGTATCGAGGCGTCTAAATGTTGCTTAAGCAGCTGAAAGCTCGGCAAGTTTGAAAAACTCCGAGGATTTGAAGATTAACAAAGTTTTGACAATGAATAAGCGGAACATTATAGATGTCTGAATTCCGAAAAGCCTACTTTTGACATCAAGAGGCACGACTATTGCACGTACATACAATAAAGACACCAACCGGGAGGTGGCTAGGGTGAAACCGGATGACTGCAACTTAACAAAATAGGTGATCTCAGCCCAGCTGACTGTTCGAATGTAACAATCGGTAGCACGAAGCTAAATGTCCACTCAAAGGAGTCCAATTATGGATCTAAGGGAGGCAAGTCTCCTCGTTCCTACGAGAACAGTCGGAGGACGAAACTGTAGCAGCTACGAACACGTACACAGTGACAGCTGACAACCAAAAATATTCCCTGAAAATAGACTGAAACAAGGTGAGCCACATCTGAAAATTCTTATAATTAACACAGGAACGTCAACAGTCTGACGCCTAAAATAACCCTAGAAATTAAACAGCCAGGACTAGATGAACTATTTCTGACATCCAGAACTCATCATCGTCAGTGACAGGTTGAAAGCTACAGCAGCCAGTCTTTAAGAATGTGTAGAACGATTTTCGTCAGCTGTTCCAGGTGGATGCTCTTCAAACGATGTCTGGTATCCCATTAACTGGTACGGTCTTTCACAAAATATGAAACGTCCTCAACAGGCAGAGTTGTCGAGGTCCTCAGTTCGCCGATTCAGCTGGTTCACTCGACTGAGGACATTGACAGCGCAGCACGCAGGTTGACTGCATACCAAACTTCGAAACATTGGAAAACATGACATCTTGTTGCTTTTTAGAATGAAATTAGTGGCCATTGTAGAAAAATGCAAGTCATTTTGATGACACCACTTGCATCTGGTCGTTGAAAAATCAACTTATCTTCAGCCATCCTTGCTTTTGGTTTCTAATGCTTACTTTAGCCTGTTGTACCGACCTCTCTCGCTGTTTAAGCCGCCACAGTGGAGTTAACGGAGGCCCGCGAAACAAAACTGCTGTTTTAATCGAAACTTTTATGCTAGAAATTTAGTGAAGCTAAATAATATCACCTGATGAACGCACAAACAGAGCGATCCGATTAACACATGCATGGCTGAGATACTCCCGGGTTGCCCGAGTCTAGACAGGAGCAATCAAGATGTCCAGGTTATGTTCGAACCACTAAGTTCGCGCCCTAACCACTCAGCCATCTCTGACGCAACGAGCGAAACTACCACAGTCAATGTGACAAAAGGTAGTTCGACTTTCCAACGAATTAGTGAGCATGACATTTCGTGGCATAAAGAGTGGTCTGAAGCGAGAGGACGCCAAAGGAACAATAAATAAACGATGTTGCACAAAGACAGTTATAACCGGTCGATAGTTTGTTTGCACAAAAATGTTTCAATAATGGTGAATAAAGTTCATGAGCGGAAGGCAACAAGTGGAAATGACGACTTCAAGCGCCCTGACTGTTTTCTCACAATAAGCAGTGAAAAACTTCGCATTAGGATTGACTTGCGTCAAGTCTCCTCCACAAGACGAGCTAGGAAGGAATGCAAAGTAGGGAGTGGAGCGAAAACACAAGGGCATTAGTGCAAAGCACAACGGGTGTTTCGGAGCGCATAGTGATCATAACCACTTTAAAAAAATAAGCATAAAGTGCCAGTCTAACAACAAAACTCCCTGAAAAGTTACCCTAAAACTCTTCAAACGGCACGTTCCAAATAAGGCCAGGGACGCTTTGGTTATGGAACATCCGTGAGGACCTCGACACCAATGGATGATAGTGGCAATCCACGGAGCCGGCTTATCCTCCTCTATGAATTAGGCTCAGTATTATGCGACAAAATCCACCATAACCATTTATTCGCTGAACAGAGCCCGTACCGCAATCGACGGTATTTCCGCAGAGGCGCTTTAATCACGGCTAACGTCGCTCCTGTGACTTAACACACAATCGGAAATGGCGTGTTCGTATAAGTTCAAAAGGTCGAGGAGTTTTCAGCAACCTTATGAGTAGTGCAGTTCAAAAGGTCATTCCACGAGGATGAAGCTTAGAAATCACAGGACAGTCACTTTCTCACATGGAATCACGTGATGCCACGCTAGTGATGACTGTTTCAGGATAGAATGAATGCTATTTGGGTGGCAAAATCGAGAAACTAATAAAAAGTAACTTGGGCATAACATAGAGTTCGATGAGATAAAACGAGATGTGAATGAAAATGTGTCTGTAGTATACAATCACGAATAGACGAAACGTTACTGACTGGCTGTTTTTTTTCTGCATAAGATGATGGCAATGTTGTGGCAATGTTGCGGGTGCGCTGGATGGGATCGTCGATGCGAGGTTGACGTTTGTAATCCAACTGGCAAGCTCGGCGAACAGACCGAAAACCGAATATAATGTAACTTATACGGCAATTATCAGACGCCTTTTGAATGCGGCACTCAAACGGAGTATAACGCCACACAACTGATATCTACTGAAGAGACCAGGTGTGTGCCAACTACACATCAAAGCCAACATCCCATTAGCTTGGGCGTGATTGTGGATGCAAACTTATCAGCCAAACTCTCAGGCGCCTTGGGATTCGTATTGTGCAGATGTTCCTAGTTAATGATAATCGTTTAGCTGTGGTATCCTTTCGGCACCTAGCTACCATGCCACTCGAAGGAAGCCTGAGGGCTGAGATACTTCCAGATTGCCCAAGCCTGGAGATGCCGGGGTTGGGTTTGTACGATGGGTCTTCCGAAGTTTGAGCTCCTAAATTTGGAGCTCCTAAGTGGTTCCAGAACTCAGAATAATGGTAGATTAGGTGTGCAATAACGAAGTACCTGATGGACAGTGGTCACCACGTAAACCCTCCAACAGTTCTTAAGATTATGCTTACACCTAAGAGTGGTCGTTTCCTTAATATCACATCCCCTATTACGCCCAGCTTCATATTGTTTTCATTTAGTTCACTTACGTTTTGTAGAGCACCAATAACATCCATTCCATTGTAAAACACTCACCACCAGTGTAGCACATGATCCTACTTGGGACAATGCATGCTCGGCATTTTCTAAGCTTCCGCATACACGTGAGATGACCTTTTAAATACATGCAAGCGCGCAAATTCTAATAGAAACATACACAATGGTTTAGCTTGAACCAAGACGTCCCCACGCAACATCTACTACATTTATTTATTGCCACGTTTCAACAAGGTGGAAAGTGACAAGAAACGTCAAGTAACCTTGACATGCCAGTTTACCTGGTACTACTAGCCCGAAATACGTCGGGCTAAATTCTGACTGAAGGCAAGCCCGATTGAGCGACTAGTAGTGATGGCTACAGTACAATGAGATCGAGACCGAAGACAAAATTATAATTTTCTTCAGGTCTTGTTTCACAAGCAAAACGAGATCAGCGGAAAACTAGCGCCTGTCAACCAGAGGCACGTGCTTCTCTAACTCAACCATTCACAGTTGAAAACAGGATCATGTGAGAGTACGTTTGAGTCACTCATATTCGTGCGCAAATCGGTTGTCTATGTCTGTTAGGAGGCTCGCATCATCCTTCGTTTACTCAATAGTTGAACAGATGGTTAAATAAAACTAAACTGATACGGATGTAGTAAACCAACTTGGTTAGTAGCGAACAAACTCACCGGGAATTACGTCCGTCAGCTTTCGTTGAACAGTGATGTAAGGGGGAGAATCGTTCGGTTGTATTAGTGAAGCATGGTGTGAACTGGAAAAAGAAGCTTTGGAAACAGATGTCTCATGGTTCCGGGAGTTCAAAGAGGACACAGAAGTATTCACAGGTGGGGTAGGATCAGTGCAGCCCACAGACGCAATCGACGACCCAATTTTGTAGGGAATTATGGGATTCGGAGTTTTAAGGAGTTGACTCAATCGTTGGAAATGGTTGATAGATACGCCGTTGACTGTCCCTCCTTCCGAAGGAGGTTCGGCTTTCATCGTCGGAGCATTTCCAGGAATGGTGGGTCGATTGTGATGCACCGAAGTTTTCCAAGGTTTCTGACAGGGGGCGAAAACGTTTTTTTTTAAATCATTCGTTTGAAAACTAAGTCGGTGTGGGCTGTCTGTGGGTTTAGGTCCTGCCTAGAAACAATTCCGACCCAGATCCGATGCTTGTATAAAAAACCGAAGAATACATGAACGAAGACGCATCGATGATAATATGCTTGTAACGACAGTGGCTTCATCCAAAACCCCCGGTGTGTGTCGCATTTCTTCGAGAACTTGCAGCTAACCACACCAAATAACAGCAATGACAACTATGGAAGCTAATCACTGCTACGGTAAATCTGAGCGGAAGAAACACAATCAGCGCAACGGTCAGCAGAAAAAATACCACTGACTAGCCCTTAAATCTAAAAATCTACGGTTAGTGTGACGTTCCGCGAAGCGGAGATGATGCATTCGCCCTTCTGATTGTGTTAGAATGCTCGCCGAAATAAAGGTTTTGCGAAATGACACGGTACACATTTTCAACTCCAGCTCCGAACTGAAAAAGGCAAATTCCGCAATCAGTAACGTATAGATGATGAAGACCACATGGTTTAATACGGATACATGGCAACCAGAGAATGGTAATAGTAAAAAAGCGGAACATTTTGAAGGCCACTGGGAGGGAGGAAAGAAACATGGACCGCAGAACAACTGTACGAAACCAACCGGAAAAGATATTTTAGTACGGGGAGAATCCCACTCAGCCACACAAAACTGTGTTGTTGGGATCCCCAATTGGAATAAATCCGCTGCATCAATCCCTGGCTTTCATTAGATGTGAACTTAGATGTACGAGAGTAAAAGTGATGGCTGAAACGAGGCTTTACGATTCCGCACAAACGAATATGCATAAATTATGAAATTTGAGCAATATTGTGGAAAACAACTAACCATTTGTGTGCTCAATGAACTGTCTTGGACAAGCGACGAACTTGGAAGTTTACGGACGACTTTAGTTGTGGCGCCGACCAGTAGAGTAGAATCACTTGGGGACATTAGGGCCACGTCGGAAGTGCCGAACGTGACTGTGGGTGAAACCTACGGGAATATAGTAAAAATATTACGGATGGTCAGCAGGACGAATAGGATTTGTTGTTAAAGGTACAAAAATTACGTGGGATTCCTCGTGGAAGGCCGTTTTACTAAATACGAAAAAGTCATCCACGCATTGTTCTCTTTCGAGCTAACCGGATCATAGGAAACAAGCCGCTGGGTTCGCGGAAGCTCATAACTACATAGAACAGTCTATCACTCTATGCTCAGAGTACGATGACCAAAATCTGTCTTTCTGAGTGCTACCATTCGGTTTCCACATAATAATACTATGATATTCCCCTCAAAAAAATAGACCAATCAGAGTTGGGTCACGCTGTCACGCAACCCGAATGAAGCACTGGTTTTAATACATTGCTAGGTTCCAGGTTCTGAGTCGAATTGGCCGAGCGATCATGACTTTAGGGCGAGTAGTCCACTCGAGGACGATATTACTGTAGGGATGATACTTGCATTACTCGGCACTCCCAAACAATTACGAGTCATGTGTAGGCCAAAAGCACTGGTGAAAGTACTAGGGGCAGACACTTGTCTTAATCCTAGCGTACCCGAGCTAGGCCAGCACTAACACCCAAGTGAGACAGACTTGCGAGTCGTTAGCCTAAGGGAAGCTGTTTGAAGTGAGTCAACCACCGAAATGCAAAATCAACCACTGAGCCAAAAGAACAGAAAGAACAGAAAATGGCACAAGTAGCATAGAGAGACCACAAGCAGAGAGCGAAGATACGCCAAATTCAACTCGGAGAGTCAGAACACTTCCCGAAAGTTGCATGCCAATTCTGTCAAGAAATCGGGAAACCGTCACTAGCAAAACTCAACTAGTCGAACAAGGAAAAGTACACACTGGTTGTGTCGAAATATTAGTAGTTGATCAGGTGGCTGTTGATCTGTTCACCGAGTTTGACGAGTGATCTCACTTACAAACAGCTATCAAAAGTGAAAGGTTCGACGTTAAAATGGCGTCCACTGTGACTTGGACATATCCAAGAAGCGAGAACGGACATCTCTTGGACTATATCATTATCAGACTGAGGGATCCTAACGAAATTTCAGTAACAAAGATGCATGAAAAAGATTGTTTAGCTGTTGCAACCTATCTGTGCTTAGCTACCATGCCAACGAAAGGAGGCACGAGGGTTGGGATGATGCCAAGTTACCCAAGCCTGGACAGGAGCAATCGAGGTGATGAGGTTGGGTTCGAACCAAGGACCTTCCAGTCCATAAGCTGGCACCTTAACCACTGAACTATCTCGAGCCCAGAGAAATGCGTGATGCTGATTGCAGCACGTATCAGGCATTGATGCAATCCAGTGTGGTTGAACAGTAAGAAGCTTCTGTGACGTGGGACCAGGTTACTGTCAAACAAATTCAAATTCAAGTAGCTATTGGATCAGTCCGCATCACAGGGAGGGACTATCGCTCGCAGGTCATCCAATACAACGGTAACACAAACGTAAGAACAAGAGAACTGGACGAAAGAATAAAGTATGAAATGAGACCGGTAACATGACCGAATGCTTGGAATATTTCAGTCTATGCAAGATCTTTAGGAATAAATAGTCAGATAGAACCTCGAGCACCGAAATTATCAGTGAGACAAGAACAACGAAAGCAAACGTATCCTGGTATAAACCAGTTACGTCAGTTGGGTCACATAAAATGGCCGACACCTGTACTCCAAAACAACCAATTATGATCAGCAGATGGAAGATGAAGCTCGCCACTAACCAGCGCATTCACTCAGAACCACTCCTAGATGCATCAGTGCTTTGCACAAAGTAAGTTTGCCCCTTGTATAAGTCCGTCATAAACGACAGATCCAAATGGATCCAGATTAGTATCCGGCTAAGACCAAACTGGTGTGTAGATGAGTTAGGCTGTTTACTAAATTCCCTCCTACGGTTTACTATTGTATACAGCTGGTAAAGAACGAGGTGTACGCAAAAAATCCAATTGCTCATAGTCGACTAGATAAAAATCTCGTGTTCCACATGATTTTGGACACTGCGTGCACTACGTATACTCACCACTATGCTCTTCGGACCACATGCTGAAGAGAGAGATTGGAAGGCAGGGACGGCAACTTTCTTCCTTCGTGACCTTGGTATTGTCTACAGTGAGTGTAACTCATGGAAAACGTAACAAGTACTTCACAGTTCATCAAGTCGCAGAGCACACCAAATGCCACGTGAACGAAGTTACGTCGAAACTCTTCATTTATAGTGTATCCCATCTCCTTGGCGTACAGAGATGCCAGGTCAGAGAGTGAAAGAAAGCTGAGAGGAAGTTACGTAAATTGGTGCACTTTGCCTTACAAGAGAATATTTGGATCGTCTTCGATCAGCTGAAACAAAAACAGGCAAACACGTTCTTGATAGTAACCATCCATTTGAGTGACATCGAATAGCTTGAGCAGTCACACAGAAGAAGAGAATTTGAAGCGAGCCAGGAACAATATTACCTGTAAAGAAAATCGCGAGAATTAATACTTAGGAATAGCACAGGAGCAGGGAATGTTCTATCCAGACAAAAACGCCGACCGACCAAAGGCCTGGAAGTATGCTGGCGGAAAACCCTGTATCCGAGTACCAAAGCCATTGGTTCTAAAAGAGGCGGTTCAGTAGCCCAAATAGGAGAACTATTACCCCTTCATTGACACTTGCTCGCAAGTCGTGAAAGATTATTGCAAACTCACCGTAATGATTGGAAGTTCAGTCCAAAACATAGCTGTCTCTCCATATAACACACTATTCAGAAGGATGCCCAGGAACGTCATGAACGAGATATTCAGTTGAGTCACCCGTAAACACAACCGTAATCTACGAATAAGTAGCGCTTGACCATGCAGTTGTCTTGTTTTCTCGCATTCTGGATAAAGTTAAATGCATGGAGCAGACCACAATATTACAGTTATGATAGTCGTTCAGCGGTAACGCCCTTTCGGTGCCTAGCTACCATGCCACCCGAAAGAAGCAGGAAAGCTGAGATACTGCTAGCTTGTCCAAGCCCAGATAGAAGTCGAGATGCGGAGGTCGGGTTCGAACCACGGACCTTCCGGTCAGTAAATTCACACCCTAGCCACTGAGCGCCCATCTCGACTCCCGACCTTACCAGGGGGTGCAATGAAAATTTTTCCATGCAGGTCTGTGTGGTCAACAAGGAATATCAGCGTTTTAAGCCCAATACCAGGGCCTAAGACCGGTTCAAGTGTGTGGCTGGCCTTCAGCCACCACAGAAGACAGACAGTCGAATGATGCTACAAAGCCGAATCGAACAGGATCCGAAGCTGACGATAAAGAAATCTGGTACCAAATGCTATTGTTTCATCGACCTCAAATCGGGTGGTGCGATGATTTAAAGTTTCCAGCCCTCTCGGCCTGAAGTGTTGTGCAAAAAAATCGCCAAAAGAATCAGATTTTAAATGGACCCAAAAAACCATAGCCAAGTGGTTTTTCGACGAATTCAACTTCTTGCTGCTGTCCTTACTGCAACCCCAGATGTAGCAGGCGCAATCGAAAATGTCAAGGATAATTTTGCAGAATTAACTTTAGGAGACAGTGCAAGCAGGCGAGTAGACGTAATCCCGATCGCCCGTCAGGAGAAACAAAACGAGAAAACTGTCTACTTAAAATGAAAAGGCACCAGGACCGAATTGTCTATACTATATACACCCCTCTTCAAAGGGGGGAAACTTCTGATGACGCAGTTGAAGAGTCTTATTGAAGCCAGATGTAATAGAAGAGAAAGTGTCTACAGAATGGGACACGTCAACAGATATTCCTATCTTTAAAAAGGACACGCAAACAGCGTGTGAAAACCACCGGGGCATCAGTCTGGCGGATGTGGGTACAGTACTTCGAACAGGGAATCGAGATGGCTCAGTGGTTAGAGAGTGAATCCATTGGCCGGAAGGTCCGTGGTTCGAACCCGATCTCTGCATCTCGACTCCTCCTCTTTAGGCTTGGGATACCCGGCAGTATCCCAGCCCTCGTGCTTCCTTCTGGTGGCATTGCAGTTAGACAATGAGGGTGAAATATACAACTAAATGACTTCGAACAACAATTCAAGCGTCACCGTGCCCCTAGCCCCGACGATCTTCCCCTTGCTCTGTTCAAGGATGGAGTTGAATTTCTCAACCGGCATGTATATTTGGGTCTAGTTGGAAGAAAGAGACCATTTTAGATAACTACGGTGAGTCGAGTAGTGCCCATTTTCAAAAAGAGTACTCGCAGTGAATGTAGTAATCAAGAGGTTCAGCTTGACTCCTGTGGTAAAAAAGCTTCTGACGTCAGTGATTCTTCGGCGTCTTACGGCAGCACGCGAGCCCTTGAACCGTGAGAATCAAGCGGGAGACTACGTCGAGCACATCTCACCCAGTTAGGTGTTAGACCAATACCATATGTACAGACGACCTATATTCTTGACTTCCTTGACTTCAAGGGTGCGTTAGATTCTGTCAATCAGTCAGTGCTGTTAACCACACTTGCTCAACAGGATTTGCTCCTATATTAACATACTTCTATCCGTGTGGGTATATGGTGAACTCTCCAAAAGCTTACATAAAAAGTGGTGTCCGACAAGGATGTCGACTCTCTCTGTTCTTGTTCAACTTCGTCGTCAACGAAATACCAACGAAAATTTCGGAAGGTCTCCAAAACCCCGGTGTTCAGATAGTTCCGGGTGAGACTATCTGTGTACGCAGACGACATCGTCCTTATCTTTGATGAAGCACAAACTTTTGAATAAACTGACCACCATCATAGCATCTTTCGGCATGCACCTTGCACCTTCAAAGCGCAGGGGGCGAGATGGCCGAGGTGGTTAGGGCGCGAATTTACTGATCGGAAGGTCCGTGGTTCGAACCCGCCCTCTGCCTCTCGACTTCCCCTGTCTAGGCTTGGGCAACCTGGAAGTATCCCAGCCCTCGTGCAACCTTCGGGTGGCATGGCAGTTGGGCAGCGGAGGGGTGCTACAGCTGAACGACCCACTCTTCAAAGCGCAAAGTGATGCTTCAGAACGTGCAGTCTCCAAACATATTCCTTACCATTCAAGGAGAACCACTGAAGGTTGTGGAGAATACTACATACCTCGGTAGTTGTATTAGCTCTGACGTTAGTGTGCCCAGTGAAGTCAGTGAACGAATCCCAAAGGCCAGAATCACATTTGCTAATCTGCATCAGTAGTGGCGTCAAAAAGGCATATTCCACTGGGTCTCAAGGGTCGCACGTACCAAGCTACGGTAAGGGCTGTATTGTTGTGTGGTTACGAGATATGGCCTCTGAGAACAGATGATGTGAGGTGTCTCCAGGTTTCTGACCACCGATGCCTCAGAAGCGTTGCTGCTGTCAGATGGCGCAAACGAACTCCTACCGATGCAATTTGAAGACGGGTATTAGGTTGTGCATCTGGTATTTCGATCGCGGAAAACATTCAGCTCCACCAACTGCGTGGCTCGGGCATGTGCTATCTACCCTGTCTACCCAGACAAGTGTTGTTCTCTGTGCTCGTGGACAACTCATGAATTGGTAGAAGGATCCAAAAGAGACTGAGAAGAGTCTGAGTGCTGTTGGCTCGGTACAGCTTCCAGGATGGGATTCCCGTTAACCCTCCTGCGAATGGTCGGAGACATTGCAAGAAATTACGGCTGATTAGTAACGTCCATACCCTCAGTTCCTTCCCAGTTTATCTGATCGGACGTTTGGAAGCATAGGCACCACAGAAAGCTTGGTATAAACCAGCACCAGGTCCTTTCCCTGATCCACCCTTTTCTCTCCTTTTCATTCTAAGGCTTCGAATATGATTAGCTAAACTGTGATTGTACAGCAGTGAGGGATCAGTGGCAATACAGATGTTGCTGAGTCTGATAATGACGATAATTATCTCTGATTTTGTCCTTCGAAAGTTGACTGAACACAAAGAGAAAGATCAGTGGAAAACAAGCTGGGTTTCTTCCTGCAATAGAGTGCAGCGATCACATTTCCACCCTCCGACAAACTCTAGAAAGAAACACTGGTTCTGTCAACCAACAATGGTGGTTTCTTGACTCAAAAGCTGACTACTATTGTGGACCGTCAGGCAATGTGCAGTGCCTATGGAGAAAGGGTGTCCCCCATAAATTCTTGACTCTCCTTAAGGAGCTGTACTCCAACTTCCGAAGATGTAGAAAATCTACGAGAAGTTCTCATCTGATCCAGTACATCAGGTGGTGTCTTTAACTTCGCCACTGATGTAACTATGGAAGACTTACTTCATTTCTAATACCTGTAGGATCGAAATGCTCCCGAGTATACGCTTACATATATCGAGTACCTGGACGATATGGCTCTTCTTGGATATGACACCACTGTAATGCAGACCAAATTAGGCACTTTCAAAAATCCTTCCTCGCTGTTTGGATATAGTTCACAGAGCCACTGTCAGACTGTGTGGACTTGCGAATGACCCAATTGTGGTGAACAAATGTTCACCTGGACACCTGTAGAAGTCCCAGTCGCCTGGCCAGAGCATCACCTAAGGAGTCCGCGTCATATCAGCCTATCTGTCAAGGGTTGGGCTTAAAATCTTACGGTGCACTCCATATGGTTGTATGGGTCAGAAACCTAGACGTTGGGC